ATATGGGGCTTGCATTAAATGTGCCTTGCGATAGGTTGGCTAGAGCAAGCTGAACAGCAAATGGCAATAAAGCTCACCAAGGCAATGACTGTTCCTCACCAGCGTAGTTTGTTTTACAGCACAAACTTTCTAGATGGATTCTGATGTAACCCTTTTACTTCCATCTCCCAACAATATTGAAACTGAAAAATCAATTACAGCACCCACCTTTCATATGTTGCTCAGTTTTGCTGGAGTAGGAAGGGGAGGATGGTAAAAATAAACACACATGCATCCTTCTCTTTAGACAAAGCCATTCGTAAATAACTGAAAAACAATGAGACCTCTCCCAGGAAGGTCATGGGTGTGTTTAATTAAGATTAATTACGAATAAGTGCTATTAGAAAAGGCTTTATTTATTCAAGGGCCTACAAACAGCTTAAATCACAAACTCTTAGTTCGTTATGTCAACAGGCTGTCAATAAAAATCAGTTTATTGGGGTTGGTAGAGTCACTAGCACATTCGTCAGTCCTGGGTCTTTAACCAGCCGCAGTCATCAAATCTCATTAGCCCGTTCTGTCTCCAGGAGGAGGGAGATCATCTATCAGTTACCATTACTTCGTGACAAACCATACAAAAGAGAGCTTTAAATCCACCTGTGCTCTAAGCCCAGGAAGGAGATAAATGTCCTTGGATATCAGCTCTGGCAGAAAAAGAGTGCAGAAGGCAACAGGATGATTGTGTGTGGGTTGAGCTTATGGCTGTTTTGTTTTAAATTAGCAAATGATTGCAGACTTCATTCAACAGACCTGACTTGCCCCTTCTGGATGTTTCCTAATCTCACTCTCCATAGAGGACTGAAAAATGAATGCTGTGAAATTAGCATGAGTTTAGTGACACTGTAATTAGATAACTTTCTCCCATGAAAATCCAACTCTAGAATTACTAAACAGATGTGATTTTCTGTTCATTGTGCATCTGCCTGTAAAAGCAAACAACAGAAACAATACGTTTCTAATTATGTAAGTAAAAGGACAGGAGCAGCATGAGACAGAGTTCAGAAACTGCCTTTCTTCATTTTAATACCTTCTGGTGACCTTTTCACAAAAAGCAACAGGCTA